GCGCTTGAGCCTCTCTCTCTCGAGGGGTTTTATTTCTGCTTGTTATTCTTAACAGTAGCTACTGGCAGCTCTTGCTAGTCGCGTGACGGCTCTTGATGCCTCCTTGATGTTGAGTGCAACGAGCACGTGACAGTAAACCGGAAACGGTTTAGGAATGACTTCACGAGCGCATCAAACGCTCTGCACGTGAGACTCGACTAAGATTCGCTTGCTAAAAAAGGAAATGACAACTTTTGATATCCATCGACATTTCTAAATAAACATCTGCAAGGATTAAGGTGCGATACTCTTAAGAAGCTTAAAAGAACCTTTCGGTAGCATTTCTGGGTGTCAGACATTTAGTCCATAAGACAGGGTTTGGCTACCGGGCATTTAGACACAGCGTTACAATTATATTTGTGCCATACTCTGCTCTGACGAAAATGAAAAGCTATAAATTTATTTGACGTCCAGTCCCAACTTGGCGATTGAAAAGTGAAATACGATGCCCACAAAATAGATCCATGACGAGTAATGCATCATTTTCTGTTTCCAGTTCGATAAGCTCACAATAATATTCAGCTTCTTCGAAACTGCTCTTGTTACCAAGTTTATCATTTTGTTACACACCTGTGAGGGAAATCACATTTTCACAAGTCAGAGCTCAAGGTGAGAATTAGATTAATGGGTTGGGATCTTTGCGAGAAAATTCATTAGAAAAACAAGGGAAGCACTTGTAATATTGTTGTGGTTTTATGGGTGAAATTATTCTTATAAAATAAATCTGTGCAATCAAAAGAACATGTGCTCTTGGTACAAAAATAATATGACTCGAGGGTTGTCTTCATCCTTCTCGATTCAATTTCATTTGCCTTTGGTGGAGTCTGTACTGCTAAGAGAAAAAAGGGGATTTTGAACTGCGAATAGCGAGTGCTCTCCACCGAAAGATAAATGACTAAATCGCAGGATGAACTAATCAGAATACAAAAATATTAAAATAAGTAGATACATATATATATAGTATCAAACAAGACCAAAACGAAGAAACAAGCAATTAAACGAACTTGCGTGAAGTAGAAGAGCAATCTTAATCTCTAAACTAGACATTAGAAGGAATTTGGTATTTACTCGTGAATATGAAATCTTTCATATTTTCATCGAAATTGTAATAAAGCAAAACATATTATTCTTGATATTTTTAGGCATGCAAAAATAAAAATGACATATTTTGGAGGATAAACGGATTCAGAGGATGGCAGTTTAACAGGTACTAAAAAACATATATATTGAAGTTCATTACACTTATACCCCTATAGTTGCGCTACTCTTCGAGCCCGAACGTAAGAAGGCTGTATATCGGCCAAGTTCCTTCTCTGCATTGTTAAAGAGGGAGACAAAGGCTTTGACAATAAAGGATTTATTGCATAGAAAAATTATACAAACCAAGAGGTTGTAACATATGTACTCGTTATGGTTGTCTTTATTTTGACTAACAAGGAGACAAAATTTCGGCCCCGTTGTAGCTAAAACTGCTGCAAAACCCTTTTTCATGGCAAACAAACGTCTGGTTACAAAATTACAAAGTATTGGACCGGTTACAAGCAAATTATTTCTTTTTTGCGAGTTCATTTATGGAAGTCCAGAGAAAGCACATTTTACCCTTTAGGATAGCCGATCACAAGATTCGTTTTGCTCGCTCGTGGGTCTCACTACACAGGAAAATATGATAATAGAGGGTAAATTAGGGTAACGTCAAAAAGATCTAACAAAAGTGAAAAATTTAACCCTAAAATACCATATTGATAACAAATTAATGATCATGTATGTAAACAAAACTTCGCGTCACCATTTATCTTTTTCGGTATTTCCGGTGGCATGCGAACATCATTCGACCTCGATCGTCTTCGAAATTTTCCACGCCAATGATTAAATCCTTGACAGGAACTAAATCATTGCCTTGAACAATAATAATTGCGTATTAGTCATATAATTCTAACCTGTTTTGCCAGAAATGCTTTTTTTGCGCAATAACGGATAAAAGTAGCCGGCAAATGTGTTTTACTATTTACATGGTCCATGGAGGATAAAAATGTAGGATCAGGGAATTCTAACAATGGCACAGAATGCTGTTCTGAAGGATGAGACTAGCACAGCCACCTAACATGAGAAATTTATCCTCTTCAGAATTATACAGCGACAAATTTTTTTCTCAGCAATGCGTTTACAGATATTTTTAAAGTTCTCTCCATTTTTGCTTTATCAAAAGATTTTCCCAGTTTCATTTCGGTTTCTGCTCTTATGGTCTGGTGGTAAATTCTCTCAATGGCTTACAAGATCAAGATATGCAAGAGCCTGTATGCAGCGTTGGTTGTCAACTTGTTTTTGATTCAGTTATCGCAGGCAACTGTTTTCCCGATGAAAAGATTAACTTGCACCATTAATCCAGTCCCTCCAAATAACATCTTACTGAGAGAGTTTTGGATCAAAATAAAATCGAACTGAAAAAACAAGACTTTCCCCAACAATATTTTAAAGGGCTTGTGGTTTCAGATCATTCATAATTACTGAGCGCCTCTAAACGAAAATTTGTGGAATATTTAATTCTCTCGAACTCTTGACTTTGGTTAAACACACTGACAACTTAAATTAACCAGATCTTTGGAAATTTTTCCAGGCACTACATAAAATAATTTAAATCCTTCTCTCGCTCCAATTGACGGATAGGTAGGTTTAGATGGCCATCTGGAAACACGTTTCTTTGTATAATAGGCCGCGGGGCGTTGGCAGAACTTGTGATAGTTGTACAAACCCCTGACTGTGTTCAGCGTTTGTAAAATGCGCCGTTCAACTCGAAGCGGTGACATCCCCCCTCCCCGGCAACCTTCGGGTATTTGACAGTGGTGCGTACCCAGGGAGTGGGGAATTTGACACAAAAGGCACTCCGGGAGTGCAGGATTTGAAACGTGCCCGGGTGAGGTGGGAAATTTGAACCGAAACTGTTCTGAAAGTCTCTCCAGCGGAGTACTCTCAAGTTTCAATTTTTGTCATAGAGGAGATACAAATTTGATTTGCGCTCACACCAGCACAACGCACTCAGTATTGGAGGCAACTGCATCATCATGATCTATGACAGTTTTAAGATAAGGCCAGGCACCATGAATTTTCTCTCTTTTTGATGATTTTTTCTTTAAAAGGAGCATTTGCCTATTAAATCTGGCGGCTGAATACGAAATTTGAACGCAATTTTGGCCCAAGGTAAAATATTTAAGGACCGAATCTTCCAAAGTTTAAATGCCTGAGATATTGCCCAGGAAGGGAATGTTGAAACTTTAAATTAATCGACGCATACAACTTTCAAGAATTCTCTTAAAGTGAAGGATGTTCTATGCTTATTTGCGTACAGTTTGGTTGATCATGTTTAGAAACGGAGAGCCTTGAACGATGTATCGAAACCAACCAAGCAAACGAACAAACAAATATGAAATAAAAAGTGGAATTTGACTCGCACGGTGACGAGACCACAGTAGTGTGACGACGAAAACTTTGAAATTCTCATTCTTTTGTTATATCTTATCAGAGACAGGTGGTCTATTTTGCTCTCTTTAAATTACCTTCATTTGAGCCACCTTTTTTATTTTGTGACGATGTTCTTTAGCGCAGTACAATCAATTTCATTTTATTTTCCAGCTATGGCGGAAGGTAATCCCCCAACAGCAGGAAAGGATCTGGACTTAAACAATGAGCTTCCAGTCACAGGTGAGAGAAAACAATTCAGTAAGACGGCTAGACGGTAATGGAGTAAGTGAATACATGTTTTGTTCGGTGCAGATTTTTTGGACCGTTTACACTTGAAGGTTTTTTAGGAACAAACGCTGGTTTTCCAAGGAACGAAAAGGGAAAAGCAAACTAAAGCACCGGTTGGAATTGCACATATGTGTTATCAAATAAAAAAAGTATATTTTTGATATTTTCAGCGTCAAACGAAAGTCAAGTTACTTCAAGTGAGACAAGACTTAGTGTATACGATGACCTTTTAAGAGGTGAGGGATTAGATTCTTTGAGATATACCCCTAGGTATTTTTTTAAGTCTCCAGTCATGGATGAATAATTTCATATGTCCTGATTTATCTCAAATTACTTGTCAACTCCTCGGAATAGAAAGTTCCTGGAAGCTCACAATCGATAGTCTAAAACGGAAAACACAGCGGTCAAACGTCTGCACGTTTACCGATATTGCAAAACTAGGTGAGGTGCATCAAGGCTATCAGAACCAAGTTGTCTCACAAGAGCTGAAAAGAACCAAAAAAGACAGTCAGTCACGTATCTTGTTTCAAAACCGTACAACTATTTTGGTAGACCTCAAAATAAAAAGGTAAATCAACAGGAAACAAAAATACTTAAGTTTTCCCTCTCTCTACTTTTGTCTCCTTTCCCAGATTTCAGATGAATGTTTCAATTTTCTTTTTCTTATTTTGCAAGACAGCGATCGTGTTTCTCATTTTTGCGCGGGCAATTGGTGCGCAGCCGGTCTGAATTGATCCCCTTGCGCATGCCCAAAGGTTGACCGCTATTTTCCTTCGCATCCGTGTTTAGGATTTCGCAGGGGGGGACGTAGCGTAACGTCCCAAAGAACAGCTGTCAAGAGAACAACAAAGTGGAAGGACCATATTTTTATCAGACTTCACTTATGCCTCCTAATCGAGCGAATCCTCAGTTAGTAGTATAGAAGAGGTTTCTGTGAAATATTCACGACCGAAATAACAATCGATTCAATTAAACTCAGTAGATGTGCTACAGTTAAGACTCCCATTTACTGAGTTTATTTTACGTGAGCAAATAGTTAAATGTGCGAATAATCGTTTCCGAATTCCTTTTATTTTGGCAGAGTTTTAAGTTTCTTTATGACCTTCAATCTACTTTGTTAAGCAAAAGTTTGCATTATCCGTCAAGGGTCGCTTTATTCATCACTAACTTATTGACACTAAGCCGATGTGTTTTCAGAGAGAGCAAAGGAATGTCTCGAGGAAGGTAACAAGAAATACAAACAAGGAGAAACTAAGGAGGCGATAAACTTCTACACGGAAGGACTTCAAGTGAACTGCAAAGATAAACGGCTGAACGCCAAGCTTTACAGCAACAGGGCAGCAGCTTATTTCCATTTGGGTAAGAATTATTTTTGAAACTTCTAAAATCTTTACATAGCCGAAATAACGAAATAAACAATCTGTACCCATTTCGAGCAGGATTTTTTTTTTTTTTTTTTTTTTTTTTTTTATTAATTTTATTGGCATTCTACTGAGTTACAGAAGTAATAAACGAGAAGTTACACGTACAAAAAAAAAAAAAAAAAAAAATTGCCAAATTATCCACTCCTGTTGTATTTCCTGCGCTTTGTGCATCTTTCCTCACCTCATTACCCAAATAAAATCGGCAAATTTATTTATATTTATCCTTAAAACGAAATCTTTGATGTGCGTAGAATTGCCTAACATGAACTCCCAGTGTTAGTTGCTCGTGACCCTACTCATGCAGTTTCCAATTTTAAAATATCCATAGCCAAGGGGCAAGTAGCAAAAACCGTGTGTGGCGCTGGGCAATTTAGTACTATCAACTAAGTAGATAACGTAAATTTATGGGAATAGTCTCGTGACTATATTCCCACCAATAGCTTAGCTCTATTTTCTGCATATAACTCGACACACAACCCACAATGATTTCCAGTGCAATTTGAGAATTATCGCAAGTAAGGTTTTCAAAGCCTGTCCAAATTGCACAAGCACCAGGGCGAGGGCGAGGGCAATTTGTAGTCGTTAAAAATTTACGAGTGGTAATTTATTCCAAATTGCACGCGAAATATCATGTGATTACCAGATAAAACATACAAGCAAAAATATGACTCTGTTTCCCTTTTTAGTGTCTTTATTTCGTGTCAAGGCTCGCCAATTGTTACCAAAGTAGTTGAGCTTTTTTTTCAATAATTTGCTTTAAACTTTTTAAACCTCTCCAGAGAATAATTGAGCGTTTGTACCTTACCTCTGTTATGTATCGATCGACAGCAGTAACCATCACACGAAAGTTATCACTCTCGCAATCTCCCCCGTCTTTCGTGCAAAATGTTGCGTAAAATTCATCGATAATTTTATTGAGGGCCTCCGGTTTATACTTTCATATTCGTTCTTGTAAGCCAGACTGGTAGCCAGTTTTTGTTCCTTTGTTGTGCGTTTTTAGTTTTAGCATTCTCCCTCAAACTTTCAGTTAAAACGTTGCTACTTTCTTCATTATGTTTTGTTTTGCTTTCGCGGCTTACCTGTCAATTAATTTAACCTCAACTTTCTGCACTTAACTTCAACTTTCTACTCTGTTTGGAATTAATTGACGTGTTCTCAGCCAATAAGCACGCTGAAATTTTTGCATGTGTATTATTAGCACGCAAATCGACGTGCGATGACGACTTACAAGTAATTATTGAATCCCACAGAAAACTACGAAGAATGTCTTAATGATGCAACAGTTGCCGTTCAATTGGAACCCACTTTGGTCAAAGCGATAAAGAAAGGTTCGTGTTTCAGTTATGAGTCAATTTAACCTCTTTTCTGAGATTTCTTCCAAGGGAACTGTATAGATTAAGGCAGCTGAATGTACCTCGGGTGTCAATGATATCTAACGCAACAATATCTGCCACGTAGGTAAAAACTGTTTTCCAAACCAAGTCAAAACCTATCGAAAGCTCAAACATGATTTAAAGCTGTTTTGTCAAACACGGTCTGATTTTTGTTCTTCATAGAAGCTCCACAAACCCCTTGTTTATCGACTTAAAATGTAACACATTTGAAATACAAGTTAGCGATTATTTAGATGGAAAATTCAGCTTTCCAGTTCTCTGTTTCTGATTTTCAGTCAGAAAACCATGTTTAACTAAACATGTTTTGCTAGTGTGAATGGGGTGTGAGTCGATATTCTAGATACATTTAGATGTTACCTTGCGACGCTTATTATTACCTTCTCAGGAGCCAGTGCTTGTGTCGAGCTATCCTTGCTTGAAGAGATAAGGAGCTGGTTGCAGATGGGATTGGCCGTATCCTTTGACGAGTGTTTCAAATGTAATGCGTAAGGCAATGCAAGCAGTGTTCACTGACGCCTATTAGAAACTACAGTATTTTCAAAGATCATTTCCACAAAACTTTACGGAATAGAAGGGGCCATAATATTGAATTCGCAGAGATTAAACAGAATGCTCCTCATCCGTGTCACTACAAGAAAACAGTAGGACGCCCGAAACTAAACAGATAATTGCGGTTAGAAAGCTCGTAATACTCAATCTAATAAGAGTATTGTTAAGATAGCAAATCATCCAGATAAACCCCCGCTGGTCACGTATGTCCAATTCCAAGGTTTATATGGGGAATAACATGGTTACAAGGGGTATTTGAGGAAAAACACCCCGAGTAATTTTTCAAAATTAAATGACCTTCCAGTGATGTTACCTATGGCGCGCCTTTCCGGTCAATATTCAAACAACCTTAATATACAATACATCCATTACATTCCTTTGCCATATTTTTTATTTCCTTTATGTAGATATATTTTTTTCGCTACTTTATTTCTCATTTTCCTTCTATATTTTTTAAATCTCTTCCTATCAATTTAGATACACGTGTTTAACGCATCTATTTTCTATTTTTTCTCTTTATCTTATATGCGTTCTATATTTTTTATATTCATTCCATTTTTTTTTTTCGTTCCGAGTGGGATTTTTTATTTTCTTTCTAATTAGTATGCAACACGTGATCACATTACCACGCTACACTTTTTACATTCCGCCATTTTGGCGTTCGGCTATATGGAGGAAGAGCTATCGACTGCCTGTCGTGCGGCCGCGGATGCTTTAGAGATTTTAAGTAATTTGAGACCTGGTTTTACGAGAAATGTAATACCTCGGATGAATTCAACGTCAGTCTCTGTCAGTCAGCCGAACAACGGGGATCGTAAGGTAAACAACGAGGAACTTCAGTCGAGCGAACTTGCCATTCAGTCCTCGACGTCGCCAGCCTCTAACAGTTCTATTCAAGCTCGGCTTGCCACTCTCTTTCCGACAATTGGTTCGAACCGAGCTAGTGGGAAAAGCACTAGTAGAAGACCAGCAAGGTCAAAGCAGACCATTAAGTCGACCAAAGGCCGCCCACCCAAGACACTTGTTTACAAGGATCTAGTCCTTATTCCCAGTCCCAAGATCAACAAAGTGCCTACACATACAACCCGACTTCAGTTAGAAGAGAGAGAACTTGTCTGCCACGAGTTTCCCTTTGACAAGAGCTGGGATGCACATTCCCTCAAAGCTGCTATATTGAATCGATTTCCAAAGCTTTTGCTATTTGAATATGTCAAGGTGGGTAACTTTGCGTTGTGATATAAGTTTAAACATTGTTCTACGTTTAATGCTTTAATAATATCATTGCTGTTCAGTTTGTACATTTTTTGTGGCTGCACTATTTTTAAATACGCATTTATACTATTTTGCCAAAAATTTAACCACATAAGAGGATACCTGCAGTGACGCGAGTAATGGACTTCGAATTTTTGGCAGAATTTGTTGGGTTATTTTAGATTTCCTCTGGTACTGCCCCACCCCCACCCCTCTCTCCTTCCTTGTGATATAAGTTTAACTTAACTACTCTTTCATTAGATTTACCCTTAACTTTTGCAAGAAGCGTGCAAGTAATGTGTGTTTTTCTTAACCTAGCCATGCTATGGAAAGCTAATAACTCCTAAGCTGGCAGAAGGCATAACTCTGGATGCAGAAAGAGTGACCAGGATGGCTGGTCAAGGAGCTGTTTATGTTAGATCACTGGTGCCTTTGGAATCTGAAGATGAGAGAGAAACTGAAGAGGAGCTAGAGAATTCAGCATTAGATAACAGTCCAAGGTGAACTTTTTCTTGTGAATTTTTGCATTGAAGATAAAACCTGTATAGATTTCTTTTAGCTTTTTTGCCACACTGCAAAGGTAGCTTCCCGTTGCAGTGGAATCATCTTATATATGATAGACTGGCATCCCAGATCATGCTACTAGGCATGACAATGGCTTTTTGTTGGAAATATTATCTAGTTTGTCTCCAAACAGATTTGTGTATTTATTTATTTTATTGGTTACTTATTTATTTATTTGTTTGCTCAGATCTTTATTCAATTGTTTGGCAGGACAGGACATAAATTAATGTGGTTTATTGCAACTCCATGTGATTGTGGATATTTGTATAAAGATGAACCTTCATAGTCTGTTACATCATTGCCAATTAGTTCCCTTTTTTTATGGTTTGTGACAAGTTGATATTTCCTTTTAGTGTTAGTGGAGCACAAAGAAGCTCTCTGTTGCTTTCATTTGGGGAGAGTGAAGGGAGGCCAGATGCAGCTGTGTCCCACCCCTGCCAGGATGCTGCACAACCTTATTGTGTACCATTTCCAACTGAAGCAGAAACATCACATCAAAATACAGAGTTAAATGATGTAGAGACAGGCAGTAACTCTGATATTGTTCATGCATCATCTGAGCATGTACCTGTGTCTGTATCAGTACCTGTACCTCAACTGTTACCAAAACGTATCATCCAAGTGCACAGGCTAAATATTAAGAAGGATTTGATTGACTTATTCTGAGATTCATTAATTATGAGTCAGGACATAGAGATAATTGTTATTGATGCCAGGGGAGTTGAAGAAGTGGGCAGAGGTGTTGGGTTGCTCAGAGATGTTTTCTCTCTTTTTTGGAAAGAAACATATGATTCCCTTTTTGTTGGAGAAAATGAGCGTGTACCATTTGTAAGACATGATTATCAAAGGGATGAATGGGTTGCTGTTGGCAGAATTTTGGTGAAAGGATATTTAACCTGTCAATACCTACCAGTCCTTCTGTCTCAAACATTCCTTTCCTGTCTTTTTTGGGGGGAATCTGCTGTAACTAGTGCTATGCTGAGTCAATCCTTTAGAAATTACATTTCATTTGATGAAAAATGTTTGATTGACAAGTGCCTTGCTGGTGATATGAAGTGGGATGATGAAGATGAAATGTCCCAGCTTTTAGAAGTTTTTAGTAACTATGACTGTCGAATTATGGTAAATTCTGAGAATATTATTCAAGTTATTGAAGAAATAGCCCATAAGGAGCTGCTGCAGAAGCCACAGTATATTGCAGACTGCTGGAAGGATATAGTTTCCACACTCCTTCCTAGTTTTCCTGATTTTGCAGCAATTTCCAAAAGGTATGAATTGTTAATACCATCCACAAGCAAAATCCTTAGTTGCCTAGAGGCAAACCCTGAGAGTGATGGGGAAAGGGATAGCCTTAAGTTTCTCAAACGATATATTAAGGGCCTTGACACGCCTCAGAAATTGTCAAAGTTTGTAAGGTTTATCAGTGGGTCTGAGTTAATGCTTTTTGATGCAGTCCAAGTAAATTTTACCAACTTATCTGGTTTGGGTCGCCGACCAATTGCCCACACTTGTAATACTGTGTTGGAGCTATCCTCGACTTATCAGTCATTTCCTGAACTTAGAGAGGAGTTCAGTGCAATACTTGCATCAGATTATTGGGAAATGGATATTGTGTAATATGCCTTGTGACAAAAAGAAGACTATTATGATGGCAAGCTGATAGAACAGACTGTTAATTCATTTTTGTAGTGAAATTATGTTTTCTACCTTGGATGGGTATTTACGATTTTAAAACATCTAACAACAGTGCACATATTATTTTCCAGTAAATCAAACTGGGAAATCGTTAGCTAATATATTGTTATCTGTTCAAAGTTGACATTTTCAAGTGAGCGCAGTTGTTTAGAACTTTATTGTTGAGATTTTAATGTATTTTTTCTTGACTGCTGTAAAGGTTAAGTTGCATTCGTTGTTCTATTCTGATTGATACAATTTGAAGGCAATTAATAAATTTAACACTGTTTACGTTTTCAATCTGTAATAGTGGTACCTGTTTGATAGGCGTTAATTGATCTTAATTCTCTTGGCCCTGTTTTCACTCTCTAAACAATGAATTTCAGGTTAATTGAATGCTGGGAACACCTGTTTTGAAAGATTGTTACCAGCCAAGTTTCTTATATGTTGAACTGATTCCTGAGGATGTCTATGCATCTCAAATATTGAGTTCTACCATGTTCACCATCGTCATTCAAAGGATGACAGGAGACTTCCAAGATATGCAGTTGTTGTGGTGTGAGGTGAACATCAACTGCTGGTATTGAGACCTGGTAATCGTCGTCGTCTAACGGGATAGGTCCATCTGGATCAAACCCATACAATGGAATTTCATTTGGATGTAGAATACTCTCAACTCCAGAGTATCCAGAGTGCATGTTTTCCAAAATCCCAGAGGCAAAAATTTGTAGGGGAGATAATTGATGTTCACTGGAGACAGGGTGATTGTTCCATTGACTAGTAAAGTGTTGCAACGCCCTATTTATTCTTGGTATTATACAAAGTGCAATGAAAATAAATGTACTTCATTTAACGGGTCAAGAAGACCCATGTCTTCCATTCCACTAAAGATATTGGCAAAGTGACAAAGGACACCAGCGTAAACATCCTTGTGAGCACGCTCAACGCGGCTGTTGTGGACAGAGCTTCCCGTTATGATACTTCCTCTGTTTAGTCCTCTATTTTCCAACATGTACTGTGCCACTCTAACATTTTCCAGTCCATGATCGCTTCTTACTCTTGAAGGTAAGCCAAACTTTGTACTCCCTTGATGAAGAGCTCCAACACTGTATCTGCTCGGTTGTTATCAGTTAGGGTGGCATACACAATAACCCTTGAATACCCATCAACACAGCAATGCACAACAAACCTGTACCTGGTAAGCTTGTGGTTTCCGTCTATGTGCCACAAAGCGTTTGGCGTTGGTACAGAGTACTTTCGACGGTAAACCGGAGTACTCCAGCGAAGTGCTGTCCCAAGCGGGTCTTTTCTACGAAGACAGTAACGAACCCTCCATCGCTGGATTCGAAATCCCCTTGCTCGGAGAGCTCCAAGCAATCTTCGTTGTCCAATGTTTGGAGTAATGCTTCTAACTTCTTTGACAGCGTCTTCAAGCTGAGAATCTGAAAAGAAGTTCTAGTTTAATTACAAAGTTTGAAGTGTCGTACATCATTGAGTGAGATGGGGAACCTAAAATATTTTGACTAAGGGTATGGCTTTTAAGATTTATTTTACCCGAAACTATATCACCCTTGTCCAAACACACTGATAATAAGCATTAAACCAAATAAGCTACTAGTATAGATAACCTTAGTCTGTAAATTACTGCGCACCTGACAATGCGGTCCAGTTTTCGCTGTCATCATCCAAATCTAATTCCCGTCTTCTTCGACGTAAAGTACTTTCACTGATACCTAACAAACTAGCGATTTTTACCTAGGAGAAATGCAGTTCGCGTAAGAATTCGATCTGCTCTCTTTCGATGACGATTACTGGTCTTCCTGCACTTGTTTGTTTAGTGGTAGGACAAGCGAATGAATTTGATATCGTTGCTTCAACGGAATTTCTTTCCTCGTACTTTGTCATTGCACGGAAAACAAAGCGTACTTTTGTCAAAACAGCATCTATTATTGTCTTGAAATCTCGAAGGACAGAGTCCTCACTTTGCCATACACTATGCAATAGCAACTGTAAAGTTAAAATTGCATCTTCCAGACGCACGTTAGCTTGTTCAAAGTAATCAGCGGAGACATCTTGTGTGTTCAAATTCTGAATACCAATCAACAGGGTACGAAGAGACTCTACGAAGTTGTAAAGGCCTCTCTCGTTGCCACCTCTTAAAGTTCCATCCGCCATTTTGCTTTTGAAATTGTCGGAAAAGTGCATCGCGTTCATGTGATCACGTGTTGCATACTAATTAGAAAGAAAATAAAAAATCCCTCTCGAAACAAAAAAAAAATATGGAATAAATATAAAAAATATAGAACGCATATAAGATAAAGAGTACAAAATAAAAAAAAGATGAGCTAAACACGTATATATAAAATAATAGGAAGAGATATAAAAAATATAGAAGCAAAATGAAAAATAAAGAAGCAAAATAAAACAGCTACAGAAAGGAAATAAAAAATATGGCAAAGAAATGTAATGGATGTATTGTATATTAAGGTTGTTTGAATATTGACTGGAAAGGCGCGCCATAGTTACCAATACCCGCAAACTGTGTGGCTCATTGCACGAAATTGTCCTTCTTTCTCAGTTAATAACCTCTTCAGATTCATATCAAATTTCTTGATCTCGTGGCTCAAAATATTCGGACTTAATCCTTTCGCTTCAGCCCACTTTTTCCAGACTGTAGGCCACATCGTGCTTTTCATGATGTTTATATTTGCTGCGTTTTCCTTACGCTCTTGCAGTTCTTTAAAAACAAAATAATTTCATTTACCATTAAAAAAACTACTTTAACAATTAAGTGATTCAAATTTGACTAAAATACCACTGCTCCTGGCCAGTCATATGCAAAACATTTCCCAACCGTTTGTATAATATTCTCATTGTTATTGAAAGTTTCTCACGTCACGTCATCAGCCATTTATTCTTGACCCGTTTCAAGATTGACGAGAGAAAAAAATTTCTCGTTCCAGTAGAGATAGGAAAGGCCGAAGAGGAAATCCGTTGTAGCCATCTTGGAAAAGCTTATGGTGATATAGGACAGTTCAAAACGGCAATCAAGTATCATCAACGTGTTCTAGAAATTTCTAAAGAAGTGGGACACAAGGCCGGAGAAGGAAGAAGTTATGGCAATCTCGGCTGCGCTTATTGAAGTCTAGGACAGTTCAAAACAGCAATCGAGTACCATCAACGTTGTCTAGAAATTGCTAAAGAAGTGGGAGACAAGGCCGGAGAGGGAACAAGTTATGGCAATCTCGGCTGCGCTTATAAAAGTCTAGGACAGTTCAAAACAGCAATCGAGTACCATCAACGTAGTCTAGAAATTGCTAAAGAAGTGGGAGACAAGGCCAAAGAGGGAACAAGTTATAGCAATTTCGGCTGCACTAATTATAGTCTAGGACAGTTCAAAACAGCAATCGAGTACCATCAACGTCGTCTAGAAATTGCTAAAGAAGTGGGAGACAAGGCCGGAGAGGGAAAAAGTTATGGCAATCTCGGCTGCGCTTATTGTAGTCTAGGACAGTTCAAAACAGCAATCGAGTACCATCAACGTGGTCTAGAAATTGCTAAAGAAGTGGGAAACAAGGCCAGAGAGGGAACAAATTATGGCAATCTCGGCTGCGCTTATTGTAGTCTAGGACAGTTCAAAACAGCAATCGAGTACCATCAACGTGGTCTAGAAATTGCTAAAGAAGTGGGAAACAAGGCCAGAGAGGGAACAAATTATGGCAATCTCGGCTGCGCTTATTGTAGTCTAGGACAGTTCAAAACAGCAATCGAGTACCATCAACGTTGTCTAGAAATTGCTAAAGAAGTGGGAGACAAGGCCGGAGAGGGAACAAGTTATGGCAATCTCGGCTGCGCTTATTGTAGTCTAGGACAGTTCAAAACAGCAATCGAGTACCATCAACGTCATCTAGAAATTGCTAAAGAAGTGGGAGACAAGGCCGGAGAGGGAACAAGTTATGGCAATCTCGGCTGCGCTTATTGTAGTCTAGGACAGTTCAAAACAGCAATCGAGTACCATCAACGTGGTCTAGAAATTGCTAAAGAAGTGGGAAACAAGGCCAGAGAGGGAACAAATTATGGCAATCTCGGCTGCGCTTATCGTAGTCTAGGACAGTTCAAAACAGCAATCGAGTACCTTCAACGTGGTCTAGAAATTGCTAAAGAAGTGGGAGACAAGGCCGGAGAGGGAAAAAGTTATGGCAATCTCGGCTGCGCTTATGATAATCTAGGACAGTTCAAAACAGCAATCGAGTACCATCAACGTGGTCTAGAAATTGCTAAAGAAGTGGGAGACAAGGCCGGAGAGGGAAAAAGTTATGGCAATCTCGGCTGCGCTTATCGTAGTCTAGGACAGTTCAAAACAGCAATCGAGTACCATCAACGTCATCTAGAAATTGCTAAAGAAGTGGGAGACAAGGCCGGAGAGGGAAAAAGTTATGGCAATCTCGGCCGCGCTTATCGTAGTCTAGGACAGTTCAAAACAGCAATCGAGTACCATCTTCGTTATCTAGAAATTGCTAAAGAAGTGGGAGACAAGGCCGGAGAGGGAAAAAGTTATGGCAATCTCGGCTGCGCTTATCGTAGTCTAAGACAGTTCAAAACAGCAATCGAGTACCATCAACGTGGTCTAGAAATTGCTAAAGGAGTGGGAGACAAGGCCGGAGAAGGAACAAGTTATGGCAATCTCGGCTGCGTTTATGATAGTCTAAGACAGTTCAAAACAGCAATCGAGTACCATCAACGTGGTCTAGAAATTGCTAAAGAAGTGGGAGACAAGGCAGAAAAGGGAAAAAGTTATGGCAATCTCGGCTGCGCTTATTATGGTCTAGGACAGTTCAAAACAGCAATCGAGTACCATCAACGTGGTCAAGAAATTGCTAAAGAAGTGGGAGACAAGGCCGGAGAGGCATTCTCACTCTCTCTTCTTGGAGAAAGTTTTGAGAGTCAAGGTGAACTTAGGAGGGCCTTTGACTGCTTTCACTCTAGTGTAGAGGTGTTTGATAGTATCAGGGCGAGTCTGCATTTCAATGATCAGTGGAAGATTACTTATCGTGATCAGCATAAGAGTGCATACATAGGCTTGTGGCGTATAAATCTAATCCAAGGTGAAGTTGTTGATGCTCTTCTCACCGCAGAGAAAGGACGTGCTCAAGCTCTGAGAGATCTACTCACTCAAAAATATCAGCCCAGAGATTTTTTGTTTGGTCTCCTTAGTTTTGCTCCATCAAGTACGATTTTTATAGCTATCAGTGGACCTTACGTTCACTTCTGGGTTATCCTTAGCGACGATAATATCCAATCGAGAAAGGTACATGTGAACAATTATAAGTATCAGAAGGAATTGGAATTTTTCATCAAGCAACAGAACAAAACTGCCTTGAAAGAGGTTGGTGCAAGAGATGCTGTTGCATGCGAAAATCCTCCTCATTACTCGCCGAAACCGGAGAAAGTGGCGAACGATATGATTCAAGTTGATGTAATGAACTCACGATTAAGTGCTCTACAGAAGCTTTATGGCATCATCGTTACTCCTATTGCTGATCTGATCAAAGGCAACGAGCTTACAGTTGTTCCTGAGGGTCCGTTTTGTCTTGTGCCTTACGCGGCATTGGAAGACTCAAATTCAACTTATCTGAGTGATTCATTCAGAATTCGTGTGCTTCCTTCCCTGACGACCTTACGACTAATTAATGATTCCCCAGCTGAGTTCCACATGAAGAGTGGTGCATTGCTTGTTGGCGACCCATGTTTCAAAGAGATCATTTATCAGGGAAGACGTTTGGTGCAACTTCCAGGAGCAAGGGAAGAAGCGGAAATGATTGGACGAATTCTCAGTATTTCCCCCCTCACTGGAGAGATGGCAACAAAAGGAGAAGTGTTAAAACGACTGTCATCAGTGGCTTTGGTGCACATTGCAGCGCATGGTAAAATGGAAACTGGGGAAGTAATCCTGGCACCAAACACCACAAGAGAAACTCCTCAGCCTCAAGAAAAGGACTATCTACTAACGATGAAAGATGTCCTGGAAACTGGACTGCGGGCGCAACTGGTTGTTCTAAGCTGTTGTCACAGTGCTCGTGGGGAAGTCATGGCCGAGGGCGTGGTCGGCATCGCCCGAGCATTCCTGGGTGCAGGTGCTAGATCTGTTGTGGTAGCCTTGTGGGCGTTAGATGACGAAGGAACCCTGGAGTTCATGAGTTTCTTTTACGATGCACTTGCTAAAGGCAAGAAGTCAAGTGAAGCTCTCAATCAGGCCATGAGATGTATGAGAGAATCTGGAACGTTCAAGGAGGTGAAGTACTGGGCACCATTTGTACTCATTGGTGATGACGTCAAACTTGATATCAAGGACATCTAGTTGCTGATCCATGTAATTATTCTTTTCATAACATTTATGCAATTCAACGTAGCTTTTAATCAAAATTGTCTGGTTATATATTTTAGCACGGGTGCCTGGTTGTCTAGTGGGTAAGAACTGCTTTTTTTCCCGAAGAAATTGAGATACTTTACAATTGAGTCGACACTTTATAGACTCAACGATGAAAACGTTTTTCATAGAAAATAAGATTGATAATAATTGTTGTGAAGTGTATCGTTTCTTGTCGTATAGCCGAATGAAAAACTTTATGTAAACTCAAAGATTCTCCCTAATTGTGGTTCTTTTATTTTTCAGTTCAGGGACCGAGCATTGGAGCTGTATCAGAGATGACGAAACCCAAGGAAATAAACCTTTGCCTAGAAACGTTGACATTTGGAACAGAAACCACAAGAATACCAATAAAATCTCTGTAAGAGTCTTCTATGCAAAGCAAGCAGAATAGAAAGAGCCTTTAAGAGTCCGTAAGGATTTCTCTTCTTTCACAAGTTGATATTTTACTTATTATCTTAAATGTTCTTATAAGCTATATGGATTTTGGACACATCGAAGAAAAAGGACTTTGCAGCATTTTTTATCGTTAATATCTGATTCGAACCAGCTTAAAAGTAATTTTTTTAAAAGCAGTTTCGTGAAATTACTATGACTGGCTATGTAAAAAAAAATTTTTCATCTAGCATGAGTGAGTTTCTTATCTATAAACAAGTTTTTGGGCCGATTATATTAATTTTACGTTTAAGCTAAAAAGCACCTGGAAAACGCCGTTTTCCCTAAAATATTTTTAATAATTTTTTTCTATTAATCGGTTTTTGTCTTATGGCTGATATACAGCTGTCAAAACCATGTGCATGCGTAAACGTTTCCATAGAAGCTGGAGAATAATCAGTTGAGTGATCGTTCGATTATCTCACTTTCAGTTAAATGGAAATTGTGATTAACATTTGGAGGAAATTTACCAAGTTATGATTAGTTTCTGTATCACGATTATTGGATTTTTCGGAATTAAATTAACAGATTTTAGCGTTTATAGCCAGTATTTAACATTATTTTTACCAATACTTCGACAGATCTTTCCCGTGTGCGTTTGAAAGCGATAACGTTTTTATACATAAGGATGACAATATATTTTGAGTATGCTGTTAAAACTAATTTTCCAATCGCAAAACGAGAAGTCAAAGAGGAGTTTCCTTTTTTTATTGTTGTTTTAATTGGTCAGTTTTTAAAATGTGTATTTTATGAAACATTTAGAGGAGAATTTCAATAAGTACAAGGAAGTTGTAGTCAAATAATGTAATCGGTCACTTTTATTGGGTTATTGACCCATTTAATGATTTTTTTGCTAAATTTGATTGAAGTGAAATTAAATGCTGTTTATTAAATTACAGAGCAATAGAATTGAAATTTATTTACGGGAATGTGCTACAGTGGGAGAGGAAAAAATCTCAGCATAACAAAAAGTAACGACAACAGCAAAGCACACTTCTTAAAAAAACAACTGGAATGTTAGCAGCTGTCTCCTGGCTCTAATTCCCTGTGGTGAGTTTAGCGCTGCGTCAAGCTCAAAGAAGATGTGCTACTCACATTTTCCCTAACTCCGCCAAGTTATTTCTCATGACAAACCGTCATTCTGAGAAAGTAACTCACTCGTCAACCTACAAATGGTCCAGAAAATTGAAGAAACTTCCATCAGAAGTTTATAACCGTCAAGAGTGAAAACCCATCTCCACATAAATTCCCTCTTAACGCCTCAAATGACATTCAGTAGACTTAGATAACATTGAACAGACTAGTGTAGTGCTATACCTACTTTACAGCTCCTCCGATCATACTAGTGAAGGACTCTTAATCCTTTACCTCCCATTAGTGACCAAGAGAGAATTTCTCCTTACAATATCAACACAATATCAAGCATAGTAGTGATGAGAATAACGCAAAATATCAATTAGGAGATTATTAATTGATCCAGTACCAAATTCTCCAAATTGACATCATAAGAATTGTATGGCGGACGGTAAGGAGAATTACTAACGAGATCTTGGGAGTTAAAGAGTTAATATTACACCACTCCTCCCGTATCAGTTAACATGAGCAATAAATAAAAAGACTGGCTATATGGGCGCCTCCCATTCGATAAACGCATAAGCGTGGCTGTTGAGTTTTGAGCCATTGATTAAATGGGTAAAAAACCTTGAAGGACTAGAAGACTCAGAGACATTAAATTGGCCTCCTTCAACTCCCTCCAAGAAAACTTTCAATATCATTTCATTAAGCCAGACGCAAATCAAGAAATTGCGAAGAATCAAGAATGAATTTGTTTAGGCAGGTGCATAAATACTAATGTTCAAAATAAACGTGGGTCGACTAAACTTAAAATTGATGTCATATGCGTTGGAAAGAGACGCGTCAACATTTTTTTCACGCAGTGTTGACGATTTTCACAGCCATAGATTTGTCTCCCCACCCGCATGCTTTTACATCCCAACCAACCAACCTCAGAAAGGTTTGAATAAAAAAAGCAATCGTGATTGAATTTAAAGAAAATTTTAAAGGCAAAATTTGGTCTACCAAGTCTTATTGACCCAGACATTCGAAATAAACATGTATAGAAGTACTGAAGAAATAAACATGTAGTCAATGAAGCCAATTAATTTTTTTTACTTATAATTTCCACTTTATATGACCAGGTGAAAATTTTTTAAAATTATATTTCGAGGGGATAAAGGAAAATTTAGGATTGTACGAGGTTTATATGCAGAAAGATTGAGCTACACCTACGCTGTTGTTTGGGAACATGATAATGTGAAAGAGGAAAAAACAACAAATTAATTGAATGAAAAACGTTCGTTGATACCGTGGGGAAAGGATAGATAAGCGCAGCAATATCTTGTGAGGGGATAACAAGTCACGTGATTATCTCCATGCAGCACTATCAGCAGACTCCATCAACTTAACAATAAAAATGGCGGTACTGCTTAAAACGTTGTTTTTTGGTTTTTTTTTTAAACAGGAATAGGGTTATTTAACGAGATTTGGGAGAATTCTCAACATTTCCAAGTTGTCTCAATGTGATCTTATAATACTCTGAGGCAACGTTCACACGGTACCGGACAAATTTTCGACCGGTGGAAAATTCGTGCGTTTGGGCGTTTCGTTCACATGGAACCACGCCAAACTTACGAAAATTTGAACGCCCAAGCGTTTAAAACTTTGAACACGAAAATCGAAGACGAACTTTTAGCCGGTGCAGTCAATAATTTGACCGCCACATTGTGAACACCTTAGACGTATAAATTTGTGCACAGCGAAGGCGTGACTGCATGGATACGTGGTAACTAGGCTAAATGACATGTTTACAATTGTATACGAAGATGGAACGTGTTTGTTTATTGATTGCAGTGCTCGATAATATCACAGCTTTATTGCATAACATTATCTCGCAAATGTGCAGGGCATACCGAACTTGCCACGCACGTAGGCGACCTTGTGCTGCTGTCTTGATAATGTCAGAAAATCAGGGTAAAAAACGTTGCATATCTATCTGTAAATCGAAGACGTCGAAGCAGCAAAAACACTGGACGCCATTTTGCTCTGGGTTAAGAAGCGTTCTGCACATGAGGAGACGGTAAAACACTCAAAAATATCACAAAATTCATCCTGTTATTAGTTCCATCTAAACAGAACGAAACTTTCGCACGGTTTCGTGTTTACAGAATGTCCGGTCGTCCAAAATTCGTCCGTTACCGTATGATCGTAGCCTGAGTTTCTTTCGAGTTTGATATAGTCCTTGAGTTTCAGTTCTTGCCCACAGACCTCATATCTTCCCTTCATCTCTGGGGCATTCTGAGGAGGTAGGCTCTGCCCAAAGTAGAGGAACGTAACCCGAGGTGATTAATTTCCGGACATAATGCTGTAGTACTTCTTTCCTTTTCATTTTTCTTTATCAAATAATTCGTTAATATATTTCACGTACATGTATTACATTTGATGACGCCAGAAACAAAGTTGACTCAAGAGGAGGCAAAGTAGTCTTTGTGCCAGGTAAAATTAACACTGTCAAGATCAGTGTAATGTTCTCCGGAATTGAGTTTTTTTCTTTATAAAACGGCACTGTCTGTCGCCATGAACTTTTCTTGGAGCTGTTTTGGTAACGCGCTTTGTTTCTTGTCTCTTTCTTCATTTCCATCCATATTTTTATCTGAGAAAAAAAAGCAACAATAGCCGTAAAAAAAACTATTAGCGAGTGATTATCGAGGATCTGACTGAGAAATACTGCAACGAAGGATACATGAAAAGGTGAAAAACCTTTCAGTTTACTGTGCGGAGATCTTATAGAATTTAATTTAGTCTGCTGTTCTGGACCTCGCTTTAATCCGATAGCTTACATGTGAAAGCTTCTGTATTAGGTCACTTGTGTGTTTGGGTAAATTTTATTTTATTTTTTTGTTCAAGTCGGTGATTTACAGGAAACTATCTAAACACCAATGATTTATCAATAAACATGTACATCGTCACAACAGCGTGATACTGTCTTCCTCTGTGAAGTTTCCATCGGTCACTCCAAAAGAAGACGAGAAACGGTTATTTTTCGATAATTCAGCAGATATCTGGTTAATCCCATCGAGACCCTCTTTTACCGATGAAGAGGCTAGACTCCAAACAATGTAAAGAAAGACGCACTAAACTTATCAAATTAAGAACATTTGCTAAATAAAGTCTTCGAAAAGTCTTGAATCAAAAACAAAAGCAAAAGCGAAAAAGTTTCGATAATCAAAAACTCAATGAACTATACTCAACTACCGTGAAAGTGTCCACGTCAACCTCAATGTCAAGTTCAAGCTCTCTTAACATGATTGGCTGATTGATTGGATCACGCGCGCTAAACGCGAATACACAAATCTCACCGAAAGGATCGAGGGAAGAGGGAAAAGGTTGCAATTTGAAATACATCTACGGAGCACCAAGAACCTACTCTTCTGTGCCTG